TTAGTATTCAAGTAGCATAAATTCAGGCTGAAGAAATGAACTTGATATTACTTACTGAATCTTTCAAATTTGTTAAGGTTATCACAAACCCCTAAATTATTAATGATTCTGTTATGCATAATTGGTATTTCTACGAATCCACTCTTTGATGGTTGAAAACTTTCCTAGTTCACTCTTCATGAACATCAGGTAACATGATTTAATGATAATGCATTTTTTATCGCCTTCATTAAGTATATTGACATTCTTGCATATGTAAGATACGGCATATTAAAAATAGCACACAATTGTGTGGTCATGTTATAGTGATCAATTGCTAATGTTTAATAGCTATGCATTTTACACAGGTAAGGAGTGGAGGAAAAGGCAAATAAGAAAGATAACAGATCGAGTTTTTGAAAAAGTACAGAATCAAAAGGAAAGTGATAAGTTGAGTTTTGAAGATCTGTATATTGCTGTCTTACTCGTGTACAAGTAAGAAGGCTGCTTCATTATTGTTTTTGACATTTTGGTGGCCTTGATAATATGTTTTTCAATTACTGAATAAATTTGATTATTTCTTCTAAAAGAGACCTGTTTCTATGTTATAGTGATATCAACAAGTATATACCTGGTCCCCATTTTGACCCTCCATCAAAAGCCAGAGTCAAAGAAGTCAAAGAGGTACTTTATTGTGACATAATGAGATCAAACTAGGTACTCTATTTATTTATATATGTAAAAGTTTTACACAGTTGAAACCAATCTAAGCTATGGCGCTTTTTCTTATAATCATGTTATGTACTGAATACCTTTTTTAACTTTTTAATAATATATTACTAATTCAGGTTTTCCATTATCATAACAGAGGAGAGTTTAAATACAAGCAGTAATCCTGCTTCATCTAAATACAAGTAGTAATCCTGCTTCATCTGATAAATTGTTTGTTAGAGTTTTGGTTAATTTGAGAGATAACCATGTCAGATGTATTTATGGTTTAGTGCATACTTGGTGAAAGTGAAAGTGATAATGAGAGGAATTCAAAATGGCAAATGAAAATCTTCGTCGTATTAAAGCATGTTTCAAGTCAAGATATATAAATCGTCATCGTATTACAACATATCTCAAAGTGAAAGTCAAGTAATGAATCTGAGCATAGAATTTGAGAAGGACTTCAACGTTCTGGTTTCCCTGTTTTCACCTCTGCTCGTATTGGTTGTATTTTAACTAATTGGTTTGATCTAAGTGAATTGGGAAATTTGTACATAAAGGTGTGTCATGTAACTTGGAAGGAAGAAATACTGCAGTCTGTAGACATTGTTACTCAGTAAAATTGCCATTGTTAAACACTTGTGATTGCAATTCAACAATTAATAGAATTGGATCACAAGGGCTATTATCCAATGTCAGGAAAAGACTTCCTGCCCTGCAGTGTCTCTGTTAGGATATAGGGTATTGGGGATATAAGGGTATAATGGGAAATGGGATTAGGATAGAAGGTAGAGGAATCCCATTTCCCATTATACCCTTATATCCCAAATACCCTATATCCTAACAGTCTCAAACTATGTGAAAAATAATATTTCTCCTCTTAATTTAGTATTAAACTAGCACAAGTGTAATGATGATTTGTGTTTGTGGAGAAACTTCATGTTTCTGAATTTGCAGAGGGTTTGTGAGGCAATGATCGACAGTTGGTAACAAAGACTATTCTATCATCATGTGTCACATAATGGAAGAGATGGATTGGAATGGAATGGAGTAGAATGATTTTATGGAACATAATGTAATGGAGTAGAATGATTTTATGGAACATAATGGAATGTAAGATATACTGAAAAAATATTCTCATTCCTCTCAAATTGGGGGAGAAAGAAAAGTTAAGGTAAATAATGAACTAGGATGGACTAGGTTGCACTAATTTCCTTTTCATACTCATCTTACCAATTCAAACAACTTAACATAACATTATATCTTCTTTCATCAACTCAGACATAGCCTAAATATCAGGGACTTGTAGCGTGTATGACAAACTATAATCTGTGGGCAGAATAACATAACTGACTACTTTGGTTCAAAGACCAATGTTTGTGGTGTGGTTTGAGTTGTCTACTAACTTTGAGCTAAAGTGTTCATTGAATAAGTGAGTTTTCAATCCCAAAGAAGTTCATACATTTTAATACTATTTTAAAAACTAATGGTGGATGGGAATACATCACAAAACATTAACTAAAAAGTCAGAGTGTTTTAACTAGAAGTTTGCAAGTGTCAATAAGGTCATTATCTTCAAAGTATTGTTCGTTTTGGTGTTCAGTGATCTATCACGGTTTTGTTCCTGTAAAATGGTGTCTAGATAGATTCGAGGGTGAGAGTATTCAGCTATTATGAGATGTGAAATATTTTGTTGTATTGGAACACAAGAAGAATATCTTGAAATTTGATGGGTTCAAACATTGACAAATTTCTTATAATTTTCCGAGTCATGTTTATTATCGTTCTGCCTGGAAGGTACTGATTTGTATCTTAAGAAGGTTATCAGTGTGGTTAGGGGGAATGTAGTAAGATACTTTGTAGTATTGTTGTGTAAGGTTGCATCTTCTGCATTATAAGAGAAAACTGAACAAGATATTTCAATTTCATAAATCACGTGAGTAGACTTGGGTAAAGTAAAGAAGATCAACTTTACCTGGGGTGAAGATCATGCAGAAGTACCTTAAGAACCATGAATTCATTCCACATCACATTTCAAAGATATAGTCACAGAGTGATTCAGCACTGCTATTGAATAGTTTCAATACTGTGAAAATCATTGGAATTCAAATGTAATTTTTGGAAATGTGGATTCTTAAATTCTGTTATTTTGTAGAAGTGCATAAGACACTCTGGTTTTTAAATTTCTGAGTGTGACTATTGTGCTGGACATGCCTCTCTTGCAATTTATCAGATGGGTTCTGCACTTCCCATTAGAGCTTCACTTTATTTGCAAGAAGCTAACTATTCTTTATCATGTACTTGATTTACCCTTTTTTTTAATAAGAATCAACAAACAGACAAAATTTATCATGTGCTAGGAATTGAGAGGCACCTTTTCATTTTTCTTCAAAATGGTCTTTTTGTTATGCTTAACTACGTTAAAATTCAACTCTTAAAACAAGCTAAATGTACAAAGACAACTTTGTTCAGACCAACAGAATTTATCATTCTACTTCAGCTAGATTTGATTTTTTTTTTTTATGTATACTATAATTATTAGTTTGTTGGAACTAAGTGTGATTCATATAACAATTTGCAGAAATGTGATATCAACCTTGATGGGGATATTGACCGTGAAGAATTTTTCGACTTCATCCTGCAAATGACAGCTGATACATTCACTGTTGTTAGCCAAAAACTTATTGTCACTATGGTTGTAGCACCAACAGTTGCAGTGGCAACAAAGAGAGCCACTGAGGGTGTTCCATATGTTGGGAAAGTGGTGAAGAAGATACCTAATTCAGTTTATGCTTCCCTTGTAACCATTGCAGCTGTGTGGTTCCAGAAAAAGGCTCAAAGTTCTTCACTGTAGCCATTGCTCATCAAGTCTTTCACAAAGAATGCTCGAATTCTCTTGATTCTGTACATAGGATTGAAACTGTATCCATGTTAGATATAAAATGGCAATTGATAAAAGAGTTAACTATGTTTTTATTCCTAAGCCATAAGGCAAATTTGGTTTTTTCCCTCTCTCAAACTTTAATCTTGTTATGTCCTTATACTTAAAGAAAGACATATATGTAATAATTTTTGTCCATTAGCGTTAATTGTTTTTTGACGTGATAAACGACAAATCACATTAAGATCCATAAGATCTTTTCATGTCAACGTCTTAAAAAATCTAACGTGATTTGTAGTTTTTCATGTTAAAATATAATTAACATTATTGTGAGAAGAATTATATTCATGCATTTCTTAATATAAGGATCTAACATAATCAAAATTTGAGATAGAAACAAAAATCAAAATCATATTATAATTTAGAATAAAACATAGTTAATACCCCTTAATTAAATCAATGATTATGTTTTGCATTTTGGATAATAAACCAATTCTTGATTTTGATTTTTCTGTGGAAGGTTTGTAATATGCAGTAAATAATAAACTCTGTTAAATCAAATTGTATACAATTATTATCTATCACCATTTTCTTTCATTTTTACGATGACTCATCTCTAATATCTTGGTCCTATAATGAGCTTTATCTGACTGAAAAATATGTTTGAAATGAAAGTTCATTTGGGTAACGCTACCTTATGAGTGTACAATCATAATAATCATAGTTATATAATTTATAGTTTATTTTCTTAATTTTATTTGTATTTGTGCTTTTTGTAAGGTATGAATGGTATAAGGAATAGTTAATTAAATATAGTTAATTGTGTTTAGAATGATTGAGCAATGTTGAAAAAGGATATGAGACAATAAAAGTGTAAGAAAGAATGAATGAAAGTGAGGTAAAAGGTAAGAGAATGTAAATGAGGTTACTTAAATTGAGTGTTTGAAAGTAAGTAGAAAGTTGGTAAAAGATGTAATAGTATAATTAAATATTTTTTTAATATTTAAAAAATAATTTGTAAAATAATTATTCAAAAAATATTTGTAAAATAATTATAAATTTTAAGTTAAAATAATCATATTCATACATTAAACACAATAATTAATCATTATACAAGATGACAAATTTCTCAAAATAATCATATTCATCATTAAACACAATAATTAATCATTATACAAGATGACAAATTCCCTCAAAATAATCATATTCATACATCATACACATTAAACACAATAATGATAAACTAAGCACATTTTATAGAATGAATTGTTGGCTTAAGCGATCATACTTAAGTAGATTTATTGGCTTCTAAAACAATTGACTCTATCCAACCCACACCTTTGGAGTTTAATCTTAATTCAAACTAAGACCTGCGTAGTGAATCCTTTTCTCACTTAGGCGAGACATTCCTAAAGATATGTTGCTTAGCGAGGATTAGGACCCAATGAACAAGTCACTCTCGGACCTATTAATTTTTTCAAAAATTTCTTTTCTAGTGAAAGGTCACTCGCTCAGTGACTAGGACCACTAGGAGCTGGTTCCATTAAAGCTTCCCAACGAGTCTTTTCTCAACCAACGAGAGAGCCCTTTGAGCTCACTGAATTTTAGTTAAATTCATTTTTTCCAGTGAACGACTTGCTTGCCCAATAAGTCTACACAAAACCATAAACTCTACATATGTATCGTACACCTATTTGGTCCATTTAATAACTTTTACATGTTTTTTAGTTAAAAATAACATACATACAAAGTTCAAAATACCTTAGGTAGACTAAATTAACCAAAATGACAGATCGTAGGTTGTTCACAATCATAACTTATATGCATATCACAAATTTAAAGCTACTTCAACCAATATCATATATTAATATCTATTGTACCAATTCATCAACACTCAACATATCAATTCATACAAAAAAATAATCCGCATAAAAACTTTAGTAGCTTCTAATTGCTCTAGTAACTCAAATAAAAAAATTGAATATACCTAATGACCACATAAAAACATATTCACTTTAAATTATTATGAGTCACATGCATGGAAAGAGGATCACATGCAACTCAAAATATTAAAGTGACTCAATATAAACAAAAAGTAAACTTAATTTGGTTTGAATTTTATTAAATATATAAACTCATTATTAAGACTTTTACTTTAATATTCAAACGATGAAAGATAAAGTCATATATATATATATATATATAAAGATTTAAAAATGAATTTATGATTTTTATAAAATAAAACTCGATTAATAAAAATTATGTCTTACACTTTAAAGATAAAATATCATCTTTTAAAATCATTATTATACACTATTTTATAGATGATTATACATACCATTAAAAAAATAAAAAGAAATGATCATATCGAATTGTTTGATTAATATTTGAATTGAAAGAAATAAAAAAAATTAAAATGTAAATCGAAAATCATTTTTGTTCAAAAATAGTAAAACAATATTAAAGTAATAATATTATATATATATATACATATATATATATATATATATATATATATATATATTACTTTGTTTTTCTTGTAAAAAAAGTTGTATTGCAACGTATATCTTCAATTAGAAACTCTTATTTTTTTGGTCAAAACTCATTTTTTTTAATGTTGAAATAGGTAGTTAGTTTTATTGATGATGACAAAGTTTATAATGAATTTCTTTAGATTAAATTTAATTTTTTTATTGATGTAAAATTAAAACATAAGAAATTAAATTTTTTTTTATCAATTTTAAGTAATTCTATATAAAAAAGAAAGAAAAGAAAATATCATAGTAGATATTTTTTATATATTCTTGTCACACCTTCGTTTGTAAAAAATCATGTTTTGACATATTTAATTTATCCATTTTATCATAAATACAACTAATATAGTATTAATCTGTTCTAATATCTTAAAAGAAAGTGAAGTAACATATTATAGTAGTACCACTTTTTTATAATAACTATCGGAAATACATAACTATATTGCTGTGTATTTATTTATTTATTATGATAATGAAAATTTAGAAAACTAGATATTATAATAGTTATTAAAATAAAAATTACCATTCAAATTTATATCAAATTTATAAAAGCTAATTAAAAAATAATTATAAAAATAAATATTTTTATTAATTTTTATAATATTATAAATGCATGATATTTAAATATAATTATTTATAAATAACAATATGTATTTATAAGAATGTATAAATTAAGAAGTGGTAACAAAAATTTATTATTAACAATAAATATTTGTTATTCATGATAAGTATTGTTTTATAAATATCTGTATTCTAAAAAAATATTAAAATCTTTCTTTATCAGTAATTATAAATGATCCTAAATAATGGTTAAAACACTGTACTGCAAAGATCTTGTCACTGTGAAACCTGTTTTGTGGAATAAGGCATTTAGCCACTGTCATTGCTTGATTGATTTAGCTTTGCTTGTTTTCATCAAAAGTTTGGAATTTTTTGATTGTTCTTTGATTTTCACATAACAATCACTTTCAGAATGCTGATTGCAACACCAAATTTCTTCCTTTCTCTTCTCTTAATATCCTCACTCTTTTGCCCAACACTCCTTGCCAAGTCTTCTCACCCAATCTCCGTAAGCCTCTATCCCTCTTTCTTTTTTCGTTTTCTGTTACCCTTTTCGTTTTCCGATTGATTTTAATATCTGGGTATCTGGCAGGATACTGAAGTCAGGAAGAACAAGATTCAGTGCTATGCTGATATTGACAGGTTCTCAAAATATCTAACAAATTGGGTTGTAGAACATGTCTTTTAGAGTGAATTACATTTTGATGTTTAATGATGTTACACTTGTTTTATTGGTCCCAAAAGTTTTGTCTATGCAAAATCCGTATCCAAAGGGATTATTATCTTGTTAGCTAGTTCAGAATTTCGGTAGAGTGACTTTGAAATTGAGAGCAAGTTCATAATTTGTGTTTGGTAAATTTGATGTCAATTTAAGAATTTGGGCATCGAACTTAATAGCAAGTTGAGAATTTCAGTAGAGTGACGTTGAAATTGAGAGCAAGTTCATAATTTGTGTTGGGTAAATTTGGTGTCAATTTGAGAATTTGGGCATCGAACTTAATAACAAGTTGAGAATTTGGATGGAGTGAATACGATAGCAAGTTGAGACTT